GTGGTGGGTGGGGGGTGCGAGCCTGATCACGGTGGGGGACCCACTGGAGGCACAGAGCGCTGTCTGCACACCTGCATTGAATGCAGCCGACATGAAGCTAGAATCGGAGGAACGCAGCGGCTGTGCGGACAAGCGTCCCGCCACCTTGCCCCCTTCACAACATATGGAAAATCCCGCACAGCCGTGCGCCAGCCCTCACGCGCGACGACGCGCCGCCCCGCCGCCCCCGCGTGGCCATGCCGCCCCGCCGCGCCGCACCTGCTGGTGGGTCGCGGCCATGTCGAGCGTCATGTGCAGGAAGACCTTGATGGCCGCCACCACCAGGGCGCTGTTGGTGGCCCCCAGCCGGTCCTCTAGGGCATTCAGCAGGTCATACACCTTTTGGAGGGGGGGGGGGGAGGCGGGGGCCGGCGGAAAATGAGGGGGCAGGAAGGGGGGGCCGAGGCGCACGCGCGTCAATTCTGCGGGCGAAGGCTTGCCAATACGTTGTGCATGAAGGATATGCGGGGCTTGTGTGCGCTTGCTGGGAAGACGAGGTGTTTGTGCTTGACGCCGTTAGATTTATTCAGGCGTGATCGGTGGGGGGCAGGGTGATGCCATGGGGTGCGAAGGCCCGGCCGCTGCACAGACGGCGCGCACCTCGCTCTCCCCGGAGGGCCTGTAGTGAGACACCAGCTCCAGCACTGCGCACTGTGCCCACTCGCTGAAGTCCTGGGGTACATGGGGGGAGAACAAGACTAGACCTCCAAAGCGGAGGGCAGCGGGCAGGCTTGTGCAGAGCATTGCATGGTTTGACTGGCGATGACAACCGGTCAATCCCCACTCACGACTGCGCGTTCCCTGAGAGGTGGGGTGCCGTTCCGGCCTGGCCCAATTGATCAAGAATAACGTGAGTGTATGCGAGCCTGCACGGGCGTGCACACACTCTCACACACACACACACACACACACACACACATCCACGTGCGTGCCGCCCTCACCTTGAGCCTGTTGACGAGGTGATAGACAAACTGCTTGTTCGACGCCAGCCGCGCCATCGGCTCCACCTGGACCACCATCTGCGGCCGGGGTGGGCAGGGTGCGTGGCAGAGCAGATAAGTGGTTGAGGGTTTGCGTTGGCAGAATCAACGAGCGGTTGGCTATGGAGAGGAAGGGTGGTTTGTTTGTGTGCGTGCGAGCTCTTGGTCTTGGAGGAGGCAAGCTGGCGCAGGAGGTATGGCACGCGTGACGCGAGATGGAGTCAAGTGGCATGAGTGTGAAACCCTGTTGCCCCACGCACGGCGCATACCGCCCAATATCACCACCAACCAAGGTCGAATCACACAATCTGCACACCCAGCCACCGAGCCGTTTGGCTGCCTTCTCTGCTTCCCACTCCCCAAAACGCCGCAGCTCCTCCCCTGAACTTGCTCTGTGCCAACCCCCCGGCCCTGCCAGCTTTTGCACATCCACCCTGTTCCCCTCCTAAGCAGACCTTCCTCGCCCCAACAGCTCCCCCAAGCATGACGCGGGATGCGAACACTTTCATGTGTTGCTGCATCACCTCATCACCCCCCCCCACACACACAAACACTGACCTGCAGGCAGTTTGCCACGACCTGGGGGTCTGGGTCCTGGTACAGCAGGGACCGCACCTGGTCAACAATGCCTGTGAGAAAGTCAATGGGGCAGCCGTGAGGGGAGCCGCCGGTCACAGCGGCCGAGGCAAAGCCCCAGCTCGCCCTCCGCCTGCGCTCTTGCTCGGCTGCTCAAAGCCGCTGCTTGGCGGAACCGCAAACCCCTGACCGTCGCAGGCCCCTGGGCCCCTGCGCCCTGCGCGCTGCGCGTGCCCACCCGAGTTGGTGACTGTATCTGGGCTCATATGCCAGATCTTGAGGACCCCCATGACGGCGGTGCGCCGCACGTAGGGGTGGCGGTCCCCCAGGCCGGCCATCACGGGGGCCACCTGGGCAAACACACGATGGCCGGGTTTGGGCGGCGGACGGAGGGTGGCGCGCGGGGGCAGCAGGGTAGTCAGCGCGGGGCGGGGCGGGCTGGCC